GGGTGTGGTAACTTTTTTGACACAATCACACGAGGAAGACCCACTGGGTGTTTTAAGGCTGCAGTTTCGGTGCAGAGATTGGCCAGTGTTTGCCAGGGTTTTATTTTGTATTCTTGTATTTTGGCTTTCTGTGAAATCTCCATAACAATATCAACAAACAGTCATAACAACCATCCATACTATAACCCCATATATACACATACATATATACATATATATATATGCTATTAATCATGTTAATTAATTAACTAATTACTCCTTTCTTCTCTGTTATAGATTCTGATTTCCCATGTTAATTACTACAATTGATGTTTCGATGTTATTTATTGAAAATTCTTAATTAATTTGTAAGGACAACAATTTGTAGTCCCTCAACAATTAGTGTAAAATTTCTTTTTCATCAATATATATATATATATATATCATAGGACTATATAACTACGTTGTGTAAAGAAAGGTGGTTCACTTTCTCTTCTTTAATTTTCTCGCATATATGTATTGTATATGTCAACCCATATATACTCAAAATATCAAACAAATCAATTTCAATATCCAACTGCCAAACAAAGCAGCATAATATATGTACGTGTGTGTATCTATATATATATATATATATGTAATACCAAGAAGCCAATATGCCTTTGACTATATAAACATACCAACAAGATCAATATGTAGAAAATTTGGTAGCTAGGAGTCAAACACCATGGTCACTCTTCTTACTACATATCAAGATCACCACCACTTATATATTGCCATACATATAAATATATATATATGGAAAAGACATTATTGTCCTATATGAAATGAAATAATCATGAAAGACACGAACCAGAGCCACTATCGCATCACCACTGCAGCCTTTTGTATATTATTATCACTATATCTATGGTCCCACCACTTGTCATGCATATATATATATATATATATATGTATGTATGGTGGTGGTGGGTTATTCTTTTTACCATTACTAGCCAGTACTGTGCTGAATGCTAGTCGAAATAAAGACATATATATTGGATAATATTCTACACCCAGTAGAAACTAAAGATGAATTGATTAATTAATCTTCATAGATACAGAAAAAGAATAATCAGTGTCTTTTCACCAGAGCAAGTCTGTCAGACTCTCACCATATAAATATATATATATGTATGTATGTATATATATGTGTATATGTATATTTGGGCATTGCATTTTTGCTACTGTAAAAATTTACACTGGATATATAAAAAAAAACAAAAACAAAATAGGAAACAATCATGTACATGATGATTGGAGGAGTAATTGTTGAAGGGAATCAAATATTCTTACAAAAAACTCAGAAGCTTTTTTTCTGGGCTGGGTTAAGGCTGTGTTTGGCGAAAATGCACAAGGGGAGGCCAACACGTTTGATTACAAAAGCAGCAGAAGGAAACACAATCATGCCATTATTAAAACGTTAAAGAAATGGAAAAGATTAAATCCCTAGATTTTAATTTAATCATGTCGTTTAATGATTAAACAATCACCTTTTTGGAGGCGTTATGCCCCTTCATCTGTATATATATATATATATATATCATTAATCACTGTAATTAGTCAGTTTAATCATATGTTTAAAGTACCCTCTTGATATTATTATACCAGTTATACATGCACCTACTACTACACACACACACACACGCATATATGCATACATGCATACACATACAGATCCAATAGTATTCTCTTCTGGTTCTGGGTTGTACGTGTCTTCTTTTTGCAGTCATTATCACAACGTAAAGCTCTCTCAGCATCAAAATCTCCATACCCTTTAAATTTGTGATCTAAAAAAAAAAAAGAAAGGACAAACAGCTATAGAGATAGACAAGTGAAATGAAATTATTTACGCATCATGGTATTAATATGCACGTATACGTAAAGCTGCAATTTTTACAATCTGCTGAATTTCCATTCCCCAGTCTTGCAAATGTTAGCTTCTCATCAGTCGTATACATACAGGATGTGTTGCTCTGTATCGGTGTATAACATTCGAATCTATAACACCTTCTAAAAAGTAAACGCATTAACCATTAAGCAAAACAGTTTAAGATAAATTATTGATTAAGGAAGAATGAGTTGACAAAGAAAAATGATGAAAACATATGAAGGTCAAAATATGATATATGTATATATATATATATATATATATATATATATTGCACGCATCACGAAAATGGGAACATGAATTGATCTCACTTTTAAGCTGGCATGTTGTGAGGGGTCTGTCTAGATCACGATTCCCTCACTTTCCCCATTATTTCTACGTATTATAAAATTTCATTTTAATTATTCTAATAATTATAAAAACCTTAATTATTCTATATATTATAATATTATACGATACATAAATATAAATATAAAATATGGGTTTTAGTTATAATGAGTAAAAGATAGTAGTAA